TTTTGTTGGGCTATTCTGAGTGGCATTATGAAAAATCATTTTAAGAGTAACGAAACCCCGTCGGTCGACTAGTGTCTCGAAAAATTGAAAAAAAATTTTCTAAAAATAACTGTGGAGAAAATTTGCCTTTGCTAGAGGAAATAAACCTTATCAGCTATTATGGTTGGTGAGTTTTGTACGAAGTGGAGTTCAGGTCTAGACTTATCAGTCGCCGACAGAAAGAATCGAACCCATGATTTAGGAGCACAATTAAGGGCAGAAATCTAGCTATATTTATTCATGTCAAATCAGCTGGAGATAGATAAATTGTTAAGTTGTTTTAGAATAAACTCATACTGAACTAAGAGTTGCTTTCACCTTATGTGGAATAGGGTCATGACAAAATGATAGTTGAATTTTTATACAATACTCAGTGGTATTTATAATATATAGTAAAATATATAGTATAATTATAGCATATAATAAAATAAAATAAAAATATAATATTTATATATACACATATATATGATAAAAGTTTATAATAGATTTAAGCGATAAGGAGCATAAGGAGTGATATTAGAATTATCTCACAATGATATGAGAAGACACATAGCCTGACCTACAAAAAAGAATGTTTAATGAGAAGCAAAACTGTGTGAAGTTCATGGAAATGAGAGACTTATTCAGATCATTTTAGCAAAATTAAAGTATCAGTCATTCCTCACTTTGAATGAAATAGGATTAAGACAGCTCTTGCCTAAGAGCTATTAGTAGTATATATTATATATATGCTTTATTATTCATTATAATTAGTTTAGATATAACTCATGTAATAGAACGTTACTTAGATATTACTCATAATAAGCATTTATTTATATTTTGCATATATATCTATTTAATTATGCATTATAGTATATACTCTTAACACCTGTCGCCTTAGGCGACAGGTTAAATGCAGCTCAGTTTGGAAGAGCTATTTGATTGAAATATACAGTCATAATTTTCAGCTTCTGCTTATTTTATGCAGTTTGCAAATATCTGCATGTATTTTGGCGAGTTGACTTGCCAAATTTGGCCTTCTGAGAGTTCTAGTTGTCTCGGTGATTACGCCTTGATCGTCCACTCGAACCGCCGGCAAGTCTGACCTCGGCGAATCTCCGTGCTTCAATTGTCCTTCAATCTTTTGCTCTGTTGCAAGCCTCGGGCGGCCTGCATTTCGCCGATTGCCACCAGCTTCTAGCCGGCTCTGGACGACCGTGTCAGTTTCCGGTTCACTTGCCTCCGAGCCGGTGTTCGAGGTGTCCAGAAGACCTGGCGACATGTCGCCTGACCCGTTAACTATGGCCTCTGTTCGTCCGGACGTGGAGACATAAAACGAGTCGGCAGGTGGCGGTGACTTCACGACGGACTGCATTCTACCGAGACGGGAAGATTGACTTGCCGACTTGTGGACGGCAGAAGACTGATCGGACCGTGACTCCACCTGACCAGTCTCATTTGGCTCATCTGCCTCGCGACCGGCCTCCTGTCGATGGTGTTCACGTTGTTGTAGTCGCATCTGACGCACATGCGCTAGCCTCCGTGCCGATGGCGAGTAGCTGGAGAACTGCTGCCAGTCTGCCAGACCAGAGCTGTAGCCGAAAGCAGCTACGGCCACGTTGACGTAGGCCGGCGCTGGCTGATTCTTGCCTGTCGGACATGCATGGAGGCAAGAAGGTTGCAAAAGGAGACTAAATATTCTCGAGTTTATGGGGATAAGGGATGACAAATTCTGCATGTACATGTTATGCTTTGTATAAGGTTTTTTTTCATTAGACTTCAAACTGGCATTACAAATATGAGATGAGGTGATGAAGGACTGGTAGTAGAATTTTCCCACAATCATGTGAGTAGAGCTGACGTTTCCATTCAATTTCACATAGCCTTGCTTTCCCAAAAGTTGCTCCAATCCAGAGTGTTCTATCAGTCCTGCATCACCTTAAACGAAATTCGGTGAATACATCTCATACTACTGATTTACTGGTAGTATCGAAAGAATACTTAAAGGCAAAAAATTAAAAATATGCTCATGTCTTAAAGTTGAACATGCATTTTTATCTTTATGGGAGAAATTATGCCGAATGGACAAGCCAGTATTTTGCAATCCAAGCTAAGATCCTATTCACCAAGTGGTTCAACAAATCAAAGAGGCATTTTTAAAAAAGCCTAAAATATACAATTTAAGAAAATTAA